TTTAGCCGTGGCCTCCTTACAGTCTATTTTTGCAAATATTTATTCATTTATTTACTTGCATATTTTTACATCTTTTAGGTGTGGCCAATTTGGAGCCTTCTTTTAAGAAGCTTTGGTATATATATATATATATATATATATATATATATATATATCATGGTTGTACTTTGGATGCAAAGAAAAGTGATTTGAAATTCATTACTGGATCTGACAGCTCAAAGCTTTAAAAAAAAAAAAAAAAAAAAAAAAAGAAGCTTTATGGACATTTCAGAAATTGATGATAATATGGTATTACTAAGCATAATTATGGGGAAAAAAAGCAAACAGTTGTGCATGTGTGTTTTGTCTTTTAAGGTTATAGATCTGCTGATTTCATGATGAACTCTCTCATCTCCTTGAATAAGTGTCATAGCTAATCTTGTAAAGAATTTGGTCAAAATAGAAAAAAATGAAATAAAAGAAAAAGACAGCAATACAAGATTTGATAGATTTATACACATAAAAAAAATATCCTAACACAAATAAAGGCACCAGCACTCCCTCACCCCACCCTCAAAGTACTCCCTATAGCTTAACTGCTTTTTAGTTATTTCTTTTTACTTGGATTCGAGACAAGATAAAAAAAAATACTTGGAGTTTAATTATTTTCCCCATTATAGAAAAGATTTTTAGATACATTCAAAAATTTTCTAAAAAAGAGTATACCATGATAAAAAGGCACCAAACTTGATTAAGAGGAATTACTAATTTGATTATTTTTCAATTATTTTAGCACATTTGAAATTTTGGTTAAAAATCTTGTTTTTCTTGTGTCAGTGAATGGGCCAAAGATTAGTATGAATTATTTAAGCATCTTTTTTAAAAAGTTAAAAAATGCATTTCTGTGATATTTTAAACTTAAAGTGAATTATTTATACTTTAATATTCCTCAAATAAAGTTTCAGAAAAGTATAAACCCTCCATCCAGTTGATTTAATTTTAATCTTTTAGCTTGATATTAAGACTAATAATATAAAATAAAAGCTTCAAAAAAGATTTAAAAAAAAAAAATTAATTTTAAACCTTAGGTATCACATTTTTTTGCGGAGGTCCCTAGATTCAATGAGTTCTTTTTTATTGCTTTTTTGTGGGCTTAAACATTTTGGATTGTAAAAAGTAAAAACAATTATTTTTTTGTGAGTGTATATTGCATTAACAATTTTTTTTATTTAAGAAAAACAATGATTTTTCCTGGTACAAGTGCTACTACTTAACCCATAGATGTGGGGGGAGATGGATGCAAGAGAAGAAAACTAACTAATTTCAACCAATAAATAATTGGAGATTTGCTAAAAATTTATTTTCCGTACAGACGGTCGTTGGTGGGGTGGAGTCCACCCAACGATCAATTATTTTGATTTGTGCTGTTGTACTTGCGAATGTGCAAGTGAAGCGAACACAAGAAACAATTTCAATACGAGAGTGATAAAATGCAGGGTTGGTGAGGCTCGTTTAAGGAAAGCAAAATTGAATGAATCAGTAGTAAAAGAGGGGATTAAGATCCCAAGATGCTAGGTTAAAAATGTGAATTCTTTTAGTTTCCCTTTTCATTAATGAAAAGGGAAACTAAAAGAATTCACATTTTTTTCTTGTGAAAGTCTTATATTTCTAAAAAAAAATTAATACCGACACCCTCAACATTCACCCAATAATTCAGGTGGGTCTTTTTTTTTCTTTTTTGTGTGTGTGCGTGATAACACACCTGGTCAGTGTTCGGGAGTACTGTAAATTCATTTTTTTACTTATTGTTGAACTTAAGGCATCCATAATCCGATAGGGCAACTTGCACTGAATAAGAAATAGTAATTGTACAATTCGAAAAAGGTTTCTTTATCCTGGATAAGAAGAGTAAGAAGACGATGATGGGGAACAATCAAAAATCAAAATTCTTCTAAAAAATTAACTTGCTTTTTTAATAAGCAGATTCACGTTTGTTGAATTTTGAATCCAGTATTTAGGCCTCTTTTTTCTTCGACTTCAAATCACACTCACAGTGAGGAGATGAGATTGAGGAAAATATTTGCTCAGCCTTCATCCACATAGAAATAAAAACTAAAAAACATTAGCTTCTTTTCATCAACAATGTTTAGTTTGTTATTTATGGGCTTGGGGACAATTCTAAGACAGTCACGGTCACGATTTATTTACTAATTTTTATTTACTAATTTTTTTTCTTCGGTGAAACTTATTTGCGTTCATTAATTTAATTTGCTCTATATCTCCATATTTTTTTAAATTTCTGTCGCACACCGTTTTAGTTGCGGGAAATAGTTTGAATTTAGCAAATAATTTAATTTGTTGACCTGTCCGATGGGGGGGGGATAAAGAAAAAAATGAAATAATCCATTTTTTTATCTTCTATTGCTATTTAGTCGATCTAGTAAAAAAAACACAAAGTCAACAAAACTTAACCAGCTTGCTATAAAATCTTAGTTTTTTAGTGAAAGTCCTATACGAGTCACGTAGCGTTATGAGCGCTATCCTTAGCTAAAGAAAGAATCATACAAGAAGCCAGAGTCCAAGACGTGTAATCGTGGATGTGAGAGAAAGCTCAGAGCTAATTTCAAAATGCTTACAGGTGAAAAAAAAAAAACCGGAAATTTCAATCAAGAGTTACTTTGTTTGAAAGTTATTTTTCCTTAAATTTCAAATAAAATATTCAATTGTCAATGGTAAGCAGAATCTCTTCAGATCTTTCATTAATAAATACACATTTTATTTAACGAATCCACTTTTGGTAAAAAAACAACAAAAAATGAAAACATTCATCGCGAAATTAATGACTCAAAATGACAAACAAAAATTCAAATTTGATTTCTGAAAATTGCATTGTTTGAACTGAAATGAAAGTCATGTTTTTAGTTTAGCGAGTTGGAATGGGATTTTATTTTTTGAATAATTTGTTGTTTTTTAGTAGAGCATAAAATTAAAACAAGAATTTTTTTTACATTATCCTTGTTTCTAAGATAAAAACAGAAAAAGTGTTCCAGTTCAGCGATTTAAAAAAAATACTTTTTTCTGTTTAAGTGTAATTGGTCTGTAATATTTAGAAATTAATATGGATAAAAAAATATGTATTTAATTTGAATTTGGTGTCAAAGTTTTTTTCTTGGGCATGAGGGAATTAAAAAAATACAAGAATTTGGACAAAATTGATTAATTTATTCAGCTTTCTTAAAAATAAAGTGCCATTTTTATTTTATCTCTTAAAAAAAGCCTTTTTTTAAGAGATAAAATAAAAATGGCACTTTATTTTATTAAAAATGTTACACCTTTTTTAAAAAGGTGTAACATTTTTTAAATAAAAAAAGACATTTGTTAATGTAGAGTGAAAACTTGATTATTAATTTAATTATTATTGTGGAAGAAAAAAACGCCTTCATTCAATAATAAATGTTTGGGGTTTGGCTAAAAATCTGGCAATCGCAATTTAAATAACATCTTTTTAAACTTTTTAAAGTGACATGTAGAAAAAATGAAACTTAATTATCTAGAAAGAGTATTTTAAGGATTTTTTAAAATCTTTATGACAATCATAAATATTCACTGATGACATTGATTATGAAGTTTTTACTTTAGGGTCAGATTTTCAATGACTTGTTCGAGTGAGAAAAATTTCACATTTTGTCAAAGTGCATTTTTTTTTTTACGTGTTGTTGACATTTTGTCTTTTTTTGGAATATGTGGAAGAAAATTTGAAGACATTTTATGAAAAGTAAAAAACCCCCAAAAAAACAGTTTAAAAAACAAACTGAAAACGTTTAATTTCACGGTTTTCCAAATGAACTTCATTTAAAAAAGAACAGACAGTAACAAAATTTTTTGTGGAGTTTAAAACTCCACAAAACAAACATGTTTTGTGGATTATTTTTTTTTTTTATCAATCACGACTTTTATATATAAAACTAAAAGAAAAATTGATAGCATTGTTAATCCAAAATAGTATTGTTAATCAAGTGTGAAAAAAATAAGAAAAGAGTAAAATTTTAAAAAATGACAATAAGTAAGACACGTTTTTTGAAAAAAGGTAGTCATTTTCAAAATCAACTTGAATGTTAGTAAAAAAACAGCATTCCTTATTAATACAGTTTCTTCTTAATTTATTCTAATGTACTGTTGTTTTATCATGGAACCGTAAAACTATGCTATTTTTAAAACAACAAAAAAGAGCTATTTTGTACTTTGTCTTCTGATAAATAAATCTTTTATTTTGGGATTTTTATTTTCATAGAACGGGAAAACAGGCTGTTAGAGTGTTAATAATAAACCAAATAATTTATTCACATTACTACGGATAGAATTTCTAAACAAAAACAAAAGCTTGAATAATAAACGGAATAAATTGGAAAGAAAAGTCTTGCCGGTTGCTATGGTTGCAGTCAATAAAAGTAATCTAACTAAAAGTCACGCTACAAACATTCGCCATTCAACTGGAGTTGCATGACAAGCAACGAACTTTCCATTGTCACGTGAGCTTCGTTAACCAATCAAAATCGCGACCTTGCTTAGTTGGGCCACTTTCATTTCATTTATCTGGCAAGGTGGCGCAGGATCAAAGGGCATGGGAATAAGACGGAAACTAGCATTTAACTCTGCCTCATCGTGTTAAAAAAAGTAGTTACCAAAACTATATATAGACGTGAAAAACTAAGGGCGAAGTGTTTTGGATATTGATATAGAATCTGTCGTTTCAGGACCTGTCATCTCCTCATTTGATTTTAATAGACTCACCCACCAAGGAGAATCATTATCGCTTTTCAAGAAGCATTTGCATTCATTACAGCACGCAATCCACAAACCTGCGGCTGGCTTTACCTGCCATCATCCTTTTTTTCAGTACCATCTCTCCTACTAGGGAACCTACAGCAGCAGTAGGATAATTACTAGATTAGTTAGCTTTTTTGACACCCTCGTTAGAACTTTTTAATAATACAACTATGAACAGTGGACGTCACAACGCCATGGATATCTCCAAGGAATTCAGTCAGCAGTCACTTCTTTCTGCTCTTCATCAATTTGTAGATGCTGTTGACTACATGGATGAGACTGTTATGATTCCCAGCCGCCTGAGAGACATGGACATTTCCTCGGATGAGTGGATTACCAACGTAAGCGGCAAAAACGGTCACATCCACAGTGCCCCGCCGTCTCCGACTTTTTTAAATGTCGGTAGCAGTAAACGTCGTAATTCGACAGAGCAGCAACAAGCCGTCATGTCCGGCAATAGCACGGACGAACAAAATCTCTATAATTTCTATAATTTATTGAAAGCTATAAAGCATGAGGTTGTGTCTGGAACCCCTGCTCTCCATGAAGCAGGTGTGGGCCATGGAATCTGTGGTGGTCAGTTACCTTATGAAATGGAACCAAGTGAGGATTATAGCATAATGCCGGCCATGTGTTCTCCGTCTCTTGCTGATGAGGAAGATGAAGTTAGTGCTGTTGATACGGAGGAAGACACGGATTCTGTCATTTCTGACACTAGCAGTGGCGCCGAGGACTCTTCAAGAAAAGTGGCAACTTCCTTCAGACATCATCTTCGTTCTCTTTTTGGTCTGCTGCATCAATTCACACAAACTGCCAAATATCTTTCTCATCGGTATGAGAGTGAAGTTGGACAAAGTTCAGCAAGTCAGGTGTCGTCATTTGCATTTTAGACATTTTGTTATTTACGCTTTTTTTTCTTTATCGTTTAATAAGAGTTATGTTTAAGCTTCGTTACTTGGAAGAATTTTATTTATTTTATATATTTTTCATTAGTTTTTTTATTTTGTAAAATCGATGTTATTTACGTTGCCCAGCCACTCCAGTGTTCAAGGCTCGTTAGAATATAATTTAAAATTTAAGTAGGATGGATACTTATAATGAGTCTTCATGCTTTTTCCACACTCCTCTTCACATCATTGAAAAATGCTATAAAAAGAAACTGAAATCTTTCTTCTCTCATATCATGCTTGAAGACTTTCAATTCTAACAAACCTTGAACTCTTCTCGTAATCTCATTAAAAAAAAGTCCTTTTCCTGGACTAATACGACCCTATGTAACCCTAAAACTTAATTTAAATTAAGTCTCGGCGACATGCTGCAAATATTGAAAAATAACGGTTACCTTTTTTCTTTAGTCCCGCCTTTGTAGATTTTTCTGTTTAAAACTTCTATCTAAAAAGCAATGTATTCTACAGATAAATGAGAGATTAACTGAATGGATGATGGTTACCTTTTTTTTTTTTTTTTTTTTTTTTTTTTTTTTTGGGTGGGATAAAATTAAAATATTTACTCACTGAAAGTAAGAGTACTAAACACTAAAAACAGTAAATGCTGCTGCTGCTTCTTTAAGTCTTAAAAAAGCTGATACATTTCTAATGTAAAATAATCAACTATTGTTACGACTTGTCAACTTTAACGCAAAACTTGAAATATTAAATTTTTTTTCTTTTTTTTTTTCTTAAAAGAAAATGACAGGTCTTTGCACACCTGTTCTCACTAAACAGGCTGGTTGATTACTTACGAAAATCCTTATGTTTATTTCTTTAAAAAAAAAAATTCAGTTCAGTTCTCAATGCAGGCCATTTAAGACGATTGCTTAAAAATTAAAATGCCCGGTTTTTAACTTGAATTAAATACAATTTATTTCCAAATGACTTTTTTTGCAAAATGACTTTATTTATGGCCTTGCACTCTTTCTGAACCAACAACCCATGTGACATGATGATACCTGTGTAATTTTCATTTTTTTTTTTTTTTTTTTTCTTTAAATGGAGGATTTTTAGTTTCATGTTGAACTTAAACATAAAGTCAATGGTAGGTGGTGCCTTCGTTTCTTCATTTTTCGATTTATTTACTTAAAATATTCTTCCTCTTTTTGAGTGGGGATCTGTTTTATTTGCATTCGTAAAATTGACATTTTTGAAACCTAATTTTAGGAGGTTTTAGTATTTGGAGATAATCTCTATATTGCTTCTGCCCTTATCTACTTGACTGAATCCAAGTAGCGATATGAAATAGCGGAGGAAATAACTGGTTTTTATTAGGTAGGTGCTAAAGCAAAAAGACGTCGGTTTTAACGAGATGCTCAAGCAAGTACGTTCATCATACCCCACACCCCTTTGTATATTGCGATCAGTCGACTAGTCGCAAATCTATGACTTTTCAAGGCGTTTTTCTTATTAAAATGCTGCTTCCTCCCTCACCGACCTTTTTTTTTTTTTTTTTTTTTTTAACCATTGAATAATAAAATTTGCCTGTGAACAATGTTGTCTTAGTCACAGGAGTTTAATTTTCATTTTGACAATAAAATTATCTTTGCGGCGCTTGTCATTTTTTACTTATTTCAAAATCGATCACATTTTGATTTTAAAAATAAGGAATCGTGAGATGACTTTATTTTTCTCTCACTAGTTAAATTTAAAAATATTCTGTTTTCCGTTGAAATTTTTTTGTACATGTGCTAATTTATTTTATTTTTTTTTTTTTTTTTTTTTTTTTTTTTTTTAAATCTTAACTGGTATGATTATGAAATTGAAATGCAACATTACAGAATTGCGTGGATTATTAATAATAAAAAAAAAACAAAACTTCAGTTTTATTTTCCAATTTCTGTATTGGATTCTGTGATCCATCCAATTTATTAAGCATAATTTATGGCCGGCTTCCTTGAGATTCTTTACACTGTGGAGAGGGAAAAAATCTTGGATTACTCCACTAGGAATTTTCCTCCTTTTTTTTTTTTTTTTTTTTTTTTTCTCCGCTGCTGCTACTAAGCATACTGCAATGTTCACTTAGGTATGTCGTGTACCCTGGATGAGTAAAATGGGTTCACGTATGACCAGTGTTTGATTTCTTAATTAAAAGTTTTGTTTTTTTTTTTTTTTTTTTTTTTTTACTGAATTTATTTGCGGGTTGGGTAGATAGGCTCAATCCCCCACCACCCAATCCCAAAATTTGTGATATTTGACGATCTGTAGAAAGAATCGAAAGACTGAAGAATCTAATTGACTTTTTTTTCTCCATAAAAGTAAGGTTCATTTATCCTCCAGAATTTAATTTTCATCCTCAATATTTTCTTTGAAATCGGCTGAAAAAGTGAAAAACAAAACTGCATCTTCATGTATTAAAGAACAAAACTGAATTTAGCAGAATTCTTTTGCTAATATTTTTACATAAATGTTTGAAATCTCATTTTTGTCAGTGTTTTTATTTATCCACATTGAGTTTCTTTTTTCTAAAAGCTCTTATTTTGCTTTTTAAACCTGATCATTTTTTTGTCTACCTAGTCACTGAATTTTTTTTTTTTTTTTTTCCTCCATCAAATTCAAACACCAATGATTCACACCTTAACACTCCTATATCAGAACATTTCTCTCTCCTCGTCTATGAAAGGAGACAGACTGGATATCAAAACAAAAAAAGGTTTTAAAGGATGGGCACCCGTCTTTGTTGCTAGGTTCCTCAAATAAAGGTGAAACGAGGGCCCTTTGCAAGAACTCGAAGCCGATGTTTGTCCTTTTTTAACAGATCTAGTTTTCTGAATTTTTGCATGTAATGTCCAAAGTGAAATTTTTATATAATTAATCTAGCTCGAGACGTTCTTAGTGCATGATGTAAAAAAAAAAAAAATGCATGTTTTAAAAATGGAGTGCATAGCTATAGCAAGATCTTTCCAACAATTTCGTTGGAATAAACTGCCCCAAACTCTTCTTATTCTTCAAACTTTATAGAAAGGAACCAGTGTTGTAAGTACCTATATCGAGTGACATGCATTTTTGTCTCAATGGGAAGACAGGAATTTGGTGGCGGTTACGAGAAGTTAAAATAAGATTTACACAATGGTCATATTGGTAAAAATTCTAGGTCTATTTACGGGAAAATTACCGCCGAATAATGCATTTTTCTGTCAAGCTGTGTATCATCTCTAGTGGCCTCCCCCAAAAATGGATTATCGTCAAATGCCCTTTACATTGCACATATTCACTATTATTGGCTTTTTTTTTTTCTTTTTATTATTTCTTTACCGGTTCATCTTCTTGTGTTTCTGAGTCTACTTTATTTTTTACTTACGCTATTTTATTTTTCCGCCTGTCAAAACCGGATTATTGAGACGTGGGCGTTGTCCTACAACTAAACAAATAACTCTCGTTCCTCGTCGTCTGTGGGTGAGAGTAAATACCTGCTTTAATGGCTCGCATGTCTATTATTACCAGACCAGACATTCATTCTACCTAGATCATGAACACTGTTAACCTTCACTTAAGATTTATTTTATTTATTTTCATTAAAGATTTAATAACTACTTTAATGATCGCACCAAATCAAAAGGATTACTTTTCCTTTATGTAAATAAATAAAAAATAAGTTTCAAACTGGGGTGGGGTCCGATAAGTGCAATGTAAAATGAGTTCTGGGCCGTCAAACTATTGCAGTTCTATTTAAAACAGTTGCTTTCTGCCTTGTGTGGGACGGGCTAAATGTCTTTTTTTTTTTTTTTTTTTTTATATATAAATTTATTTTGGAAAATAAATATTGATAACAAATACACAAACTTTATTTTTAATATTTATATTTTAACGTTGAATTTCTTTGTTTACACCTTTTTAAAGCTTCTTTCGAATGAGATGAATGAGACTAATTACTTAATCGCAGCTATAAATAAAACACTTTACTTATCAATGTTTAAGCAATAATTCTAAATTTGGAATCTCCAGATTCGCTAAAAAGTACACCATGATAAAACTTTTAGAACGTTACTATTGCTGTTAATAAATTCCTTTGTGATATTAAACTTAAGTAATGTTTGAAATCAAGTTAATTATACTTTAAATCACCTAATGTTGCTCAAATACGCTTTTTTCAGTGTTTTTATTTTTGAAAGACTTTTATTGGATGTGGATCTTACTTAGACTATAATTCTTCTTGTTTATTCCATAATTTTCCACTTGTAAACAAATAGGAAACACAATCATTTTGAAATCATTAGAATTTATTTTGCACTGTGAATACTGTACTTAATATTATAACTATAAAACATAACATCAAATACGTTACGGTTTTTACAAGAATAACCCAGGCATTTAGAATCCATATCCTTTTCTGAAGCTGCTATTTCAGAAATCTAAGGGACAAGTCTTCTAACTGGATTAAAAAATGCTTGCCATCTGCTGGCATATAAGAATGTATGCAGAACACTAACAGGCAAGTGCTTTTCTCGGATTCCCTTATCTGACCCAAATGTAAATGAGTAAATTAATTGCTTGTTAATTGCATTGTATTTGGTCCCCCTATTAAGATCTCCTGCATATTATGTCACGAAATAGTTGATTTAGTTCCTTGGAGGCGATATGTGTGTTTCTAGGATGTATAATTAGCATCCGAGATAAACTCTAAGAAAAGCTATAATAAATGTTTCAGCTTCTTCAGGTCAAAAGGAAAACACAAAACTAAGGAAAATGCGTTAACATTTTTGAGAATAAGAGTAGCCATAAATTACCTTCTTGGATCTCATGGTCAGAAAGTGTTTATTATATAACACTATGTATAGATAGATATCTATCTATATCGCATATGATAAAAGGATTTTATACACAATTTATCAAATACATTAATCGGTCACAACTTTGATCTAAAGAATGCCACATTTATTAAAAGAAAGTAACTTAGATGG